AGGGGGTTTAGAGCTGGGCCGTAAGTTCTAAACTTCTTGGACCGATAAAGCCTGAACCCAAAAGAGCTTTTAGGGTTTAGGGTTTAGGGCCTTTAGGGCCTTTAGGGCCTTTGGGGCCTGTCGGGCTTGAAAGTGTTGGGTTCAAGGGGTGAGGCTGTCGGCAAAGCTAGAGTTTGAATTCCTTGAGAGGGGGTTTAGGGTTTAGCGGTGCGCCTGTCGGCAACTGTAAATAAGACGTCCAAGGTGGGATTAGGGTTTAGGGTTTAGGGTTTAGTTGGCAAACTCTGATCCGTAAACTCCGAACTCACAAAGCCAGGAGGATGCACTGTCTGTTCCTGGGTTGCTCTGGGACCTAGCCCTAAACCCTAAACCCTAAACCCTAAACCCTAAACCCTAAACCCTAAACCCTAAACCCTAAACCCTAAACCCTAAGCCCTAAGCCCTAAGCCCTAGTTTCGGCTTTCCTACGTTGAGCCGGGACTCGGAGTAGCCCCTTACTTCCTTTCTCTAGGGGCTTAGGTTCCCTTCGAAGCCCCTCAAAACCACAGAGGGTACCCTTTTTCTTCCAAGGTTACTCTTGGGCCTGCTAGCCCTAAACCCGGAACCCTAAACCCTAAACCCTAAACCCTAAACCCTAAACCCTAAACCCTAAACCCTAAACCCTAAACCCTGAACCCTGAACCCTGAACCCTATGGGTTGATGCGTTTCAGGCCTTTTCGGGGGGAGACGTCCTGACCTCATGGGAATCACGTGAAGGACGAGGCCAAGCACCCCCAGCTCCCATGTGGCGCGCCGTGCCCCCCTGGACTACTACACCCTAAACCCTGAACCCTAAACCCTAAACCCTAAACCCTAAACCCTAAACCCTGTAGGTCTTAGGTTCCCTAAGCCTAAACCCCCAACCTGCAACTCCGAACAAGGGCGGGCGAGGATGCGGAGGAGGCCAAGCCTGAGGCAACGAACAGGCCAGGGCAAGTAAACCCTAACCCGCCTGAAGTTGTTTTTCCCTAAACCCCAAACCCTAAACCCTAAACCCTAAACCCTAAACCCCAAACCCTAAACCCTAAACCCTAAACCCTAACCCCCAAGCCCCAAAACCCAAAATCCTATCAACCCGAAACCCTAAGCCCCCAAAGGGTTTTGTTTTAGGCGGGCCCGCGTCCTAGCTTCATCGTACAATGAGAGTGCAAGGTCCGCAAGGCACAGCAAATTTACAAGCTTCAAGCCATTAAAAGAAAAAATAAACCCTAAACCCGAAACGCTAAACCCTAAACCCCAAATCCTAGACCCCGTACGTACCCACCCTGAAGCTGTCCTTCATTCCTCCAGCGGAAGTGTACAGACCCTTACTGAGTAGCTGAATGAGTACACTTTACCTTTTGGGGATACGATAATCCCCTATAAAATTGAAAGTGTACACTTTTCGGGGTATAAGCTAAACCCTAAACCCTAAACCCTGAACCCTGAACCCTAAACCCTAAACCCTAAACCCTAAACCCTGGAGGCAACTAAGCTTACGCGGTAACACATAAAGCAGGTCGTAGTTGGCGATCCCTCACGTTCGAAGGGCGGTTTGGGTTTGGGGTTTAGGGCTTAGGGTTAGGGTTTAGGGGTTAGGGTTCAGGGTTTAGGGTTTAGGGTTTGGGATTTAGGGTTTAGGTCCTCCGCTAAACACACAGCCCCCAAACCCCCCAAGCCCCAAGCTCTCAAACCCCCAAACCCCCAACCCCCCAACCCCCCAACCCCCCAACCCCCCAACCCCCCAACCCCCCAAACCCCCAAACCCCCAAACCCCAAACCCCCAAACCCCTAAACCCCCAAACCCCCAAACCCTAAACCCTAAACCCCGCCTGCCATGATGCTTCAGCCTTTCCAGGCAGAGACTGCAACTTGTCAGCCCGAGTTTCAGCAACCGCATGGGTAGCTCTCTCTAAATTTGGGGTCCCGTTTTTGGTGGGTCCTTTATTTAAGGGTGCCATGCTATCTAGTTATCTATCTATCTACCTATCTATATATCTATCAATATACACTTTGTTTACTTTTTTTTACTTTTTGTTCATAAATACACATAGGAGCCAACAAGGGACCCCCCCCCCCCCTAATTTGGAGAACTGCCCATTGTCCTTACGGGGGCGTATAGGGTTTAGGGTTGGGGCTTGCAGCTTCCCCCGCCCTCTTCTCTCTTTGCCAGCATGCCTTTCTCGATCGCCATGAAAGCTGGGCTGGCAGTAGCCATCTTCTTGACATCTCGGACTGCAACTTGGCAGCCCATTGGTACCCTTTTCCCTTTTTTTGGGTTCTGGTTCCCTTATAAAGTAACCAACCCAAAAAAAGGTGCCCTTATGATCTTATTATAATATGGTTGCTGGGCTACTAAGGCAATGCATTTGTTTGCTGCATCCTTCTGGGGGCTCTCCGTGGGTTCCGAGGTTGGGTCAGTCATGTTTTGCATTGCCGCGGGTTCGACATGTCGGGTGCTTGTCGGGCAAGATGTATCGATGGGCACGAACTCTGAAATGCTCATTGAACTCCGAGAAATCTCACGTGGCCGATGACCAGCATGGAAGCCGGGCACACGGAGAGGGTGGTCAACTCGTTTGCTTTGGAGACAACTCGGATGGACGGTGGGATGTGCGCTGGTTGGGACGAGTTTCGGCAGTCGCAGCATGCCATTTTCATACCTGTGCAGTGCGGGCCGATGGTCAGCTCGTCTGCTTTGGCGGCAACTCATATGGACAGTGCGATGTTCCACCAGATTTGGGACCAGTTTTGGCAGTCGCAACAGGGTATTGTCATACTTGTGCGGTGCGGTCAGATGGTCAGCTCGTCTGCTTCGGAGGCAACTGGTCGGTGTGATGTGCCATCCGATTTGGGAACTGTGTCGGCAGTCGCAGCAGGGTACTGTCATACGTGTACAGTGCGGGCCGATGGTCAGCTCGTCTGCTTTGGAGGCAACTCAGCGGGGCAGTGCGATGTGCCACCGGATCTGGGACCAGTTTTGGCAGTTTCAGCAGGCTATTTTCACACGTGTGCAGTGCGGGCCGATGGTCGGCTCGTCTGCTTTGGACGCAATGCAATGTGCCACCAGATTTGGGGCCAGTGTTGGCAATAGCAGCAGGATACTGCCACACCTGTGCTGTGCGGGCCGATGGTCAGCTCGTTTGTTTCGGGGACAACGCAGATGGGCAGTGCGATGTTCCACCCGAGTTGGGACCAGTTTTGGCAGTCGCAGCAGGGCATTGTCATACTTGCGCGGTGCGGTCAAGTGGTCAGCTCGTCTGCTTCGGAGGCAACTCAGATGGTCGGTGTGATGTGCCATCAGATTTGGGAATTGTGTCGGCAGTCGCAGCAGGGTTTAGGCACACCGGTGCGGTGCGGGTCGGTGGCCAGCTCATTTGATTTGCAGGCACAGGACCCCAAGGCCTCCGCGCATCAACACATGAGTTGCCACTTGGAGCATCTCAAAACCCTACACTGCCTACACCCTACATGCAAAAAGCAACTCCATAAAACCCCATAAAACCCTATAAGACCCTACAACACTCTTTAACGCCCTATATTAAAACCTATAAAACCCTACACCCTACATGCCCCAAAAAAAGCCTAAACACCTAAACGCCTAAACACCTAAACGCCTAAACGCCTAAACACCTAAACCCTAAACCCTCTATTGGGAGGCACCTCCTTCCACTCCACTGGGCGGTGCGGAGCTGAAGATGCAGATGTTTAGGGTTTAGGGTTTAGGGTTTAGGGTTTAGGGTTTTAGGGTTTAGGGTTTAGGGTTTAGGGCTGCGGGGCTGCAGGGCTGTAGGGCTGTAGGGCTGTAGGGCTGTAGGGCTGTAGGGCTGTAGGGCTGTCGGGCTGTCGGGCTGTAGGGCTGTAGGGCGTAGGGTTTGGTGTAGGAGGGCGGGGGGGGGGGGGGGGGGGGGGGGGGGTTTAGGGTTTAGGGTTTGCGGTTCATATAGAATTGACGATTCACAGTTTTTCCGCAGGGTCCCTGGTATTGCAGTTTTGCTTGGGAGGTGGCATACCTGATAGCGGGATTGTTAGAGGTTTAGGTGGAGGGTTGGTTTATAGTTAGGGTTTCCTAAACCCTAAACCCTAAACCCTAAACCCTAAACCCTAAACCCTAATTAAACCCTAAACCCTAAACCCTAGACCCTAAACCCTAAACCCTAAACCCTTTAAACCTTAACCCTAAACCCTAAACCTTGCGAAGTTCGGCTGCGCAATGGGCAAATGATTGCGAACTGCAAGCCGGTGTCATGCTACTAGCGGTTGTTAGCACGTATCCTGCGGCTTGTGATGACGGAACCCTAAAGCCTAAACCCTAAACCCCAAACCCTAAACCTCAAGCCCTAAACCCTAAACCCTCCATGGCATATCACTGCCAGTTGCGTCTCTGGATGACAACTTTTGCTCACCAGGTAGAGCTGCGCAACGCCACTTGCAAAGCAGGTGGATCAACTTGTGCCCGTGCTCCTAGTTTCTTCAACCCTAAACCCGAACATACAACCCTGAACCCGAAACCCTAGCTAAACCCGAAACCCTAAACCTGTGGAGTCCTACAGGAGGCATGCGCCAAGCCTACCTCCCCTAGCCTGAAGTCACTCCACTGAGCCGCTGGCTAGGAAACATCGGCTGTAGTGCAGTAGGGTTTAGGGCTCAGGGTTTTAGGGTTCAGGGTTTAGTGGATGATTATAAGGGTATAAGGAGGGACCCCCAGAAGGGACCCTTAATCTTATTCCCCCTGTAGAACCCATATATAGCCTCTACATCATATATATATATATATACCTTATATAGTCTATATGTACCTAAATACCCCCTAAGTAACCCCAGGCCCCTTATAAGGGTCCCTCCTTTAGTCCCTTTAGGTGAGGGTTCAGGGTTGAGGGTTTCGGGCTTAGGGTTTAGGGTTTCGGGTTTAGGGTTTAGGAAACCCTAAGTACTTTAGTGTTTCCTGAAGCACCCGCTTCCGGCCATGCGCGTATCCGACATGGCTGTGAAGGCCATTCGGCGCGGTTTGCTGCGCGTCAGCTCGCCCCTCGCCTTCTTGGCGGTTCAGAGGTATCTCAGTTACATCGTATCAATAGTTCTATGTACCTATATACATAATATATATATATATTTATATTTATATTTGTATTTATATTCATATATACCGGTTAGGGTACTCAAAACCTTTCTTGCAACTACCCAAGAATCTTCAGGTAGATCCGAACCTGCATTGAGTCGGGTTTTGTGGACTTGAGACGCTTGCAAGCGCGAATGGGCCAAGTGCATAGGGTTTAGGGTTTAGGGTTTAGGGTTTAACTTCTTCTTATAAGATCCCCTTAAGCTACGGTTGCATTGATGTATACCCTACCTGGGAACCCCGCCTCAAAGCTGAAGTTGTTGTCAACTAACAATCTTCCCTGATAGTCCCTTTGTACTTATACTACAATAACCCCCCAAAGCCCTATTCTAATTGATGAACGGCCCCTATGGTATGCCCTACCTGGGAACCCCCCCCACCCCCTCTGAAAGCCCTAAACCCTAAACCCTAAACCCTAAGCCCTAAACCCTAAACCCTAGACCCTAGACCCTAAACCCCTAAGCCCTAAACCCCCACCCCCGAGGTTGAGCCGAATAGTCGTCCTGCTGCTGGGCCTGCGATCTGCGGATCTCGATACCGACACCTTCTTGCGGACGACCCAAGCGGCTCTGCCCGAAACCCTAAACCCTAAACCCTAAACATTCCGGAGCTTCTTTGCGCTCGCAAGTTCGGGCTTTTGTCAGGTTTTGCCCCTCGGGCCCAAGACAGAAACTGGCATGTTTTTGAGCAGGGGCCCTGAACCCCCCCCAAAGAAAAAAAAAAGAAAAAGCCCAAATTCTGAGGCTCATCGTTACACGCTTGTAGAACTTTAGAACTTAGTTCAGGAGGCGTTGTGGAAAAGAAAAGCATTTTGGTCTTGACTCTTAAACCCTAAACCTAAACTCTAAGCCCTCAACCCCAAACCCTAAACCCTGCCAGGGCCGTCTTTACAGCCCAAAGCATGGTGGCATACAGATATGGGGGTTGGGCTACAGGCACTGTTTACCGGGGGTTCTCTAGGGAGTTGTGGGGCTGTGTTTCATATTCAGTGGGGATTCCTTTTGTGCTTAATGGGCTTTTCGGGCTTTTGGGGGGGAACAGAAATGTAGCTCAAGTAGCCCCCAAAGTCCCTAGACCCTCAACCCTGAACCCTAAACCCGGAACCCTAAACCCTGAACCCTAAACCCTAAACCCCAACTATGCCTTCCTCGCCTGGGTCCATACCCTTAAGTGTACGGGCTGGATGCCTGCAGTCAACCGAGTCAACTGCGGGTCCGACAGATCAAGCAAGCCTCGAAGCCTTAGGGGGGTTTAGGGTTTAGGGTTTAGGGTTTAGGGTTTAGGGTTTAGGGTTTAGGGTTGCAGTTCAGGGGTTTTGGTCTCCCTAAACCCTAAACCCCAAAGCCTGGACCCTCAACCCTGAAATCTAAAGCCGAAACCCTTAACCCTAAACTTTCAACCCTCAACTGTCTACCGCGCTAAGTCCCAAACCCAACTCCCCTCGCAGGTCGTGGATCGCGTGCAGGTGTTCATCAGCCACTCGTGGCAAGCGTCTTGCCCGAATTCAAGAGCACGTGGGCTTTCCGAAATTAGGGGTACCTTTTTGGGGTCCTTATTTTTTAATGTCATAAGGGAATCCTACTATTTGGGGGCCCATATTAGGGGTCCCCTGTTTTCGTAACCTCCGCATGCGGGCGATCAAAATGTATTCCCCGGAGTGGGCCCTTATTCTTTTTTTTTTTTTTTTTTGGGGGGGGGGGGGGGGGGCTTGGGGTTTCGGGTTTAGGGTTTAGGGTCTAGGAACCCTAAGCCCTAAACCCTAATCCCTTGTAAGCCCCTATAAACCACCCTTTCTATTCCTGTGTTACTCTTGGGTCTAGAAATAGTGGCCCATTTTGCTTTTGGGTGCCCTAAATTCATGAGGCGCCGTATTCGCATAGGTAAAGGTCAAGCAAAAGGGATTCCAGGTTGGAGCGCCCCAGCCTCTCCCCGTCCCATCACATGGACTTTAGACAATGTATGCTTGCGGGTTTAACCCCTAAACCCCAAACCCTAAAACCTAAACGGCCCTAAACCCTAAACCCCAAACCCCAAACCCCATTGCAGAACAAAGGCCGATCCGTGGTTGAAGGTTCTTGCACTGCGCCTTGGCAGCACTTTAGGGTTTAGGGTTCAGGGTTCAGGGTTTAGGGTTTGGGGTGTAGGGTTTAGAGTTCAGGGTTTAGGGTTAGGGTTTAGGGTTCAGGGTTTAGGGTTTAGCGGCTTCATCAGAGTTTATAGGCTTTCTTGGGGTTGTAGGGTCTAAGGGGTTTATGGGGTTTAGGTTATCAAGCAGGGAATAGGTGAGTGGCAAGGTTCTTCCGGGCCCCTAAGAAGCCCTAGACCCTACTTGGAGGTTCATGGGTACTTCTAACCCCAATCATAGGGTTTAGAGTTGAAGTTTGAAGGTTTAGGGGTTTACGGGCACCAAGAGGGACCAGAACTTATAACCCTGAACCCTAAACCCTAATCGATTTGGAACATCTCGTCTCCCTCCCACATATTTAATGGGTCTTGTCGATGGAAACAGATTCCGCCACTTCGCCGATACGACCGATGAACTAAGATTCCGATTGAGGCTTCCTGGTTTAAGGGTTCGGGTTTGGGTTTAAGGTTTAGGGTTCAGGATCTGCTTATCATCATCAGCACTCATCAGGAACCCGCAACCCTACCTGAAGAACCTAAAACCTACATTTTTTGTAGGTTGAGGAAAATGCCCCTTGCAGGATTCTTAGGGAACCTACTGAAAGGAAGCTTTGGGTTCGTAGGGTAAAGCTTGAAGGGCCCACCATGTAGATCAAGCCCTTTATGCACCTCCGCTTATTGATCAGGAGGGCTTTGGGCCCTAAACCCTCAATCCTAAGCGGTTTAGGGTTTAGGGTTAAGGGTTTAGGGTTTCGGGGTTTGGGCTTACGGATCCTAAATACCAAAACCCTAAAGCCTGAAACGCTTCAAGATCTCGAGGCACAGAGCGTTTGGGAGTTTTGGCTCAGGGTTTAGGATTTCGGGTTTAGGGTTTAGGGGTTCAGCGCAGGGGCACGAAGTACACCTTGCACTAGGTTTCATTTTTGGGTTTGGGGTTTAGGGTTTAGGGGTCAGGGTTGCAATCTATCGGTCTTTCAAGAACTACCCCCCCCCCCACCCCCACCAACTTTTTTCAACTAAACCCTAGACCCTCCAACAAAAACGAAGCAATAAACCCGACAGCGCCCTCAACTGATAGGTATTTCCCAAATTGGGGTACGCCTTGGACACCGAAATAGAATAGCATCCCTGGACAGGGGCCCAAGAAAGGGGTACCCCTATGTTCGGAAACCCTAAGCCCTAAGCCCCTAAACCCTAAACCCTAAACCCTAAACCCTAAACCCCCACATCGGAAACCTGCACAAGTGGCAGGTGCTTTGAGATGAACCTGGTGCTGGCCGATACTTGGTACTCAACGATGAGGTTCAGGCTTTCCATGGTGAAGGATTTCGGATATAGCTCCCTAAGCCCGAAGCCCTAAACCCTAAACCCTAAACCCTAAACCCTAAACCTTAAACCCTAAACCCTAAACCCTAAACCCTAAACCCTAAACCCTAAACCCTAAACCCTACGCTTTGGATCCCAGGTTAAGGCCTCGTGTTTGACATACCTGATCACCTCACTGGCGCTTCTCCAGGCCGCAGGAGGCGCAGAATCTCCCGGGAGGGGTGAGGGTTTGGGGCCCCGACCTGAAACCCCAAACCCCAAACCCTAAACCCCAAGCCCCAAACCCTAAACCCCAAACCCCAAACCCTAAACCCTAAACCCTAAACCCTAAACCCTAAACCCTAAACCCCAAGCCTTCATGAAGGTATCACTTCGCCTTCAGCCCGGACCGTCCTCACCGACAGTCCGTGGACGCTTCCGTTGACTCTGGATTTGCCAATGCAGCTCTTTGAAAGTTTAGGGTTTATGGCTTAGAGTTCAGGGTTCAGGGTTTGAGGTAGGGTTCTGGGCTCACAGTTCCGGGTGTAGATGTAGGGTTTAGGGTCAAGGGTTTAGGGCTTGGCGCGCCAGAGTGTTAGCCTCAGAGGCCTTTAAGCCCTCCACCCGAATCCCCAAAGCCAAGCCTCCGCTCTAAACCTGGGTTTTGGAGTACTATATGTTCATACTTTTTTCGGTTTCTGGGTTCCTATTATAGCTACTTATACCCAAAAAAGGCACATACTTTCTTCCAGGGTCTACTCCCAAGTAGGGAAAACCCAATCTTCTTAACTTGAGGTGGGGCTCTTGCAAATGTCAGCGCATTCATTCTCCGAAGCCGTCCAAATAATGTTCATCTGACTTTAGGTTGAAGCCCCTTGGCGTATGAAGCCCACAGTCCCTGAGCTCTCTGCTTGCCTCTTGTGTTCTTTTCTTGGTTGTTTATTTTATCTCTCTCTCTCTCGCTCTCTATCTCTCTCTGTTTTTCTCTCTCTCTCTCGCTCTCTAGATGCATACGTACATAGATCCTACCGTACTTCTACACGTTGCTAAATTTCGGGTTCTTGATATTGCATTTCTACATTTCTACACATGTGCATATATATATATATATGTAGGTGTGTGGTTGTAATGTAGGTGAGTAGGTATAGGTGTGTCGGTATGTAGCTGTGCAGGTATGTAGGTATGTATGCATGCGTGCATGCACGGATCGTTGTCTTTGTATATATGTACATAAGTATATATATATATACATACACACGACACTTGGTACCGAAGACAGGGGACATGCATGGCAGGTGAACAGAGCCGAGTGATGGGAAACACACTCACCGAGGCTTGTATTTTTCACAACGTTCTTCTTCGGGCACTGGATGACACAAGAGATCTGGACACCGCGAATCTGGTTTGACAAGGCATGCATCAACCAGGCTGCTCGAACATAGAGAGAATAGGAACTTGGCAAGTTGTTACTTCGTGTGCTCTCGAATTGGGTGTCAGAGCATACGAGTATCTGGACTGTCTTCCAGACGGCCTAGTCGAGCAGACGCCTTCATTTGTTTGTTGTTACTTTGTGGGCGGGATTTGCAAGCCTCCCCTAAACCTGCCAGATCCTTCAACCCTAAACCCCCCAACGTCCAAACAGCCTTAGCTTGACAACGAGCTCCCTCAAAACCCAGTGAGCCCGAACCTAAACCCTAAACCCTAAACCCTAAGCCCCTGAAACCCCTGAAACCCCTGAAACCATTCGCTAAACACCCAAAACACAGCGATGGGGGAGCGGAACGTCCAAACAGCCTTAGCCCATCAACCAGGTGGCTGATCATGAGTCCCTGAACCCTAACTCTAAACCCTAAACCCGAAACCCCAAACCCTAAACCCTAAACCCTAAACCCCAAACCCTAAACCCTAAACCCTAAACCCTAAACCCTAAACCCTAAACCCTAAACCCTAAACCCTAAACCCTAAACCCTAAACCCTAAACCCTAAACCCTAAACCAACCAGGCTGATGTTGAGCAGCAGGAGGAGGTAGTCACAGCCATCCCTGAGATCGTCAAGCGGTCTTCCTGCTTGCTGGTCTTGCTTGACGAGACGTTTTTGGGTCGCTTGTGGTGCAACCTCGAGCTGGCTACGTTTGCGACTTGGTTTAGGGTTTAGGGTTTAGGGTTTTAGGGTTTAGGCTTTAGGGTTTAGGGGTACTCTTTTTTGCCCTTCTTGTTTGGTTCAAGGTCTTCGTTACTAAAGTTTTCAAACCCCCAAAAGAGTACCCTGTTTATACTTTAATACTGGCTGGCTCTTAGAAGGGAATAGAGGAATGAGGTACCCTATGCAATCCCTTGAAGCGTATTTGCTGGCCCGAATTCCCTCATGCCCAGAACCAGAAAGATAATATGAAACCCTAAGCCCTAAACCCCAAACCCTAAACCCTAAACCCTTAACCCTAAACCCTAAACCCTAAACCCTAGGCCAAGAGCCATAGCGACCCAGACGCTTTGCACATTGTGCCCCTCTGGCTGCCGGCCTGGTTCTTTTGCAGCCTTCTCTGCGAGTGGCTCGTCGCACGCCTGTCGATCTTCGCATGGCTTCAGTCTATCGCTCTATCCAGCGGCCTGGGCTACTCGCTAGGCCCTTGGGAGATTTTATGATTTTCCCTTCCTTAGGCTTAAGAGGAGCATGTGCAGGAACATTTTTCCGAGGAAAAAAGGGCCATCCGAGCTAAGCACCTAAACCCTAAACCCCAAACCCTAAACCCTAAACCCTAAACCCTAAACCCTAAACCCTAAACCCTAGCCCTAAACCCTAAACCCTAAACCCTAAACCCTGATTTTCAGGGGGTGGCCCTCCGAGGTTACACTCCCAAGTCCGACCTCGACTTCATCGTGAACGGCGTGCTCGTGGCCGTGCTTATGGCCGTGGGCCATGCCCCTTCGGTGCTGGTCGCAGCCTTCTCCTTCACAGCCAGGATTCTTTGTCTGGGTTTAGGGTTTAGGGTTTGGGGTTTAGGGTTTAGGGTTTAGGGTTTAGGAGGTTTAGGGTTTAGGAGGTTTAGGGTTTGGGGTTTGGGGTTTAGGGTTAGGGGCTCCTTCGCAGCCAGGATCCAGTATTTAGGGCGATAGATCCACTTCAAGGGATTCTGTAGGCTAACATATACCCTTTAAGGGATTACATATCAGTAAGAGGATCGAGCAATGTGACGTCATGCTGGACCAATTCGGGACCTTCGACGTGCGATGCTCTGAGTGTGGCGTCACTGAGGACCGTCCTAAGCTGCATAGCCAGATTCTTAGTAGCTGACTGAGTACGCTTTGCACTTTTTGGGCTACCATAACCCCTGGTAAACCTGAAAGTGTACATTTTTTTTTTTTTTTTTGGGGGGGGGGGGGGGTGGGCTTATGAACTCAGCAACCAAGGATTGCACGCCTCTTTGACGAGATCGACGACCCGCCGATCAGCGTCGAAATCGAGGTGCCGGTAAACGCCAGGTGTGAGCGAGCGGAGGTAGCAGAGGACTTTGTGGTACTTTACTGTAACTTTCAGATCCTTACCTTTTTTGGGCTTATTGGGTTTCTTACTAAGGCAGCTAAAAGTTTAATGTATAGCTACCCTCCTGGGTGCAGCCAAGAGGAGTCGTCCGAGCTGCTGCAGCTGCTTCGGGAGCCAAGCGTACGTCAGCTTACCACCTACCCCACTGAGGAGGAGCCCTGCAGTAGTCCTAATCAAGCCACGAGCTTGTTTGTTCCGTTTGTTTTTTGGGTCCATGGTAGGCCAAGCAAGGACATGCCTGCAAGTTTAGGGTTTAGGGTTTAGGGTGCAAGGTTTAAGGTTTAGGATTTGGGGTTCAGCAACGAAGCATGGCACCTGTCAAGGACTGCTTCAACCTTTTCAACACCTACGTTCGACAAGACCTTTGTGCCAAGGTTTCCTAGCTAGGATAAGGGGGACCCTTAAAAAGGGAATTCTTCTGAACCCTCCTCTGGCTCTCTTAAACAGGGAACTTACTGAGAGGGTCCATAGCCCCAAGGGTCCCCCTAATCCGATCCCCTATAACCCTAAACCCTAAACCCTCAACCCTAAACCCTAAACTCCCCTAAGGTTACGAGGGACGTGGCTGGCAAGGCGCAGATGCGTTATGGCGTCGCCCTGCTGGTCCTCGGGTTGCTGTTAAGGATGGCTACTCAAGCTACCCCCCCCTAACCCTACACCCTACACCCTACACCCTACACCCTAAACCCTAAACCCTAAACCCTAAACCTTAAACCCTAAACCCTAAACCCTAAACCCTAAACCCTAAACCCTAGTAGTTGCAACATGAGGGTGGCTTAATTTGGTTTCCGGGATCGCAGCTCAGGTGTTTCTCCCCAACGTCTTCTGGCTGGTGACGTACGAGTACTTGCAGTGCGAGCGCGCAGGCTGCGATGAAATCGCTGAGGCGTACGGCGCGCACTCCTTCATTGAGTACATTTTGTTCGGCCTGCCCTGGCTGGGTCTGTTTCTCATGATCGTGTCTCCTTTGACCCTGCCGGCGATGCTGCACGCGCTGGCCTGGCTCCACGTCCTTCCCATTTGGCGCCCATGGAAGATCATGCTTGCCTTCGTGATTGGGCCAGTCGTTGACATCTGCGTCTTTGTGTTGGGTGGATGCGTGTATGGCTTCATCCAATCCCTCCTCGTCCAGCAATTTTCACCATCTCGGCTTGTGCAGACGTTCCTGGTGGTGACGGCTTTCATGCTGCCATGGAGTATCTTTGTCATAGTTGGGTACCATTTTACATGTTTAAGGGTACTTAAACCCAATAAGGAATGACACATTAAGTTTCTAATGTTATCCCAACATGTGAACTAGGTATGGTATTCTTCGAGTGCAAACTCTTCCGGAAGTGGCTCCTGCGCTTCCACAGCCGATGTGCCGGTTTCACATAATCCCATCATGTTGCACGGCCAACTGCGTCTTGATCTAGCGGTCAGCTTGGATCGCTACATGAACACAAGGCAGATTCTTGGGTAGTTTTAAGTATGTATGTAGGATTTGCAGTATCTTAAGGAAGTCTAGATATATGCATATGTACATGAAGCTCCAAGTGTCGCCGCTTGAAAGGTCAAACACTGCAGTGAATCGCCATTTGGCAGCGACGGACTGGATTGGTGCCATAAGAAACTTCAGTTAAAGTACTCTAGGGGTCGGAATAATTACCTTGGTTGCCCAGTGGTGCCCTTTTACCTTTCTCTTGCTTCAAGGTGCCCTTGTAAAGTAACCAATCCAAAAAAGGGTGCCCTTATCATAATATGGCTACAGAACTGCCAAGTTAGTACTGGTATTCCCTTAGGGTCCCTCTATTTTACTATACTCACCCCCCCCCCCCCCCCCCCCCCCCCCCCAACGCCCTATTCTGAGTTTGAAGGCCCCTGTACTACCACGCAACGGACACCAGTGTGACTACTTCCTAGATCCTAAACCCCGAACCCTACCAACTTTCATACCCATTGTTTAGGACCCCCCCCCCCCCCCCCCCAACCCCAATATTAAAAAACTAAGGGATGTAAATCCCTATATTGCCCTTATGAGGAAGGGGTATGTTCTTTTTTTGGGGTGGCTCTTAGGCAACAAGTACTATAGGGGTCGGAAGAAATTGCTAACAGTATTCACTTCTGGTCCCTGTATAGTTGTACTACAACGGCCCCCAAAACCCTAAACCCTAAACCCTAAACCCTAAACCCCAAACCCTAAACCCTAAACCCTAAACCCCAAGCAAAAAGTAGTTTGCAGCAGCCCAGTTGCACCCCTCTGATGACATTCTCGATGTCGAGGCTTTTCGGGCCCGTTTAGGAGGGCCAGGGCCTTTGCGAGCTCTTTGCTGCGCGACGTGGGTTGTAGGGTGTAGGGTTTAGGGTTTAGGGTTTTGGAGTTCGTGGATGTTGATCTAAGTTGTGGCGCCCTTTCTTGGGTCTCTCATATCGTATCTCATAACGATACGGTATACCAATACGACCCACGATCAAAATTAATCCCTGTTTCGCACAGAGAGCCCGGCGATCGCTCCCTTTGAGGTTGCTCGAATTTTTCCGGCTTTCAGGCGAGCGTCATTTGGACGGTTCTCTAAACACGGAGCCTTGTATTCATGGAACCCAAGGGTTTATGGTTCTTAAACCCTAAACCCTAAACCCTAAACCCTAAACCCTAAACCCTAAACCCCAAACCCTTGGTCCCCAAGGATAAGGCAGCTTCATTTAGAGAACTGCCCGAGTGCCCAGTCTGGGCCATCCGTTCGTAGGCAGCGGAAGATGTAGAGCGCTCCATCGTCTCGTTGTTGCGCGAAAAAAAACGACCGGGTTTTGGAGTACTGCACTTTAATACTTTCTTTGGTTCTGGGTTCCTAGTATAACTACTTATACATAAAATTTCTAAAAAAGTATACACCTTTTTTCCAGAGTCTACTCCAAAGGTAGGACGATGTCTGCATGTCCTGGATAGCCCGGGACTGACGGGAGAGAAGCCCCCTACGCACTCTTAAGTGCCACCCTAAACCCTAAACCCTAAACCCTAAACCCTAAACCCTAAACCCTAAACCCTAAACCCTCTAGAGCCTTAGAACCCTGGAACCCTAGAAGCCCCCCAAGCCTTATGTCGGACACACGAGTTCACCTCCGAGACAGCAATGAAGCCTGTTGCCCCCTCTAGGACCCGGAGTAGGTCCTTATTCGCTTTTTGGGAGTTTAGGGTTGAGGGTTTAGGGTTTAGGGTCTCGGGTTCGTGTTTAGGGCGAGGACCCGGAGTCTTTAGGGTTGGGGTTCCGTTATAATCCCCTTACAACCAAACAGGGGACGCTTTTTGTTCCTAGGTTACTCCTGGGTTTAGACCTCGATGCAAGTCTTAGGGGTTTCGGGGTTAGGGGGTTTGGTGGGTACTTATAACCCCAATTATAAGTCTACTTAGAACCTACTTAAGGGACTTTGGCGGCTTATAAGTGCAGTCATAATCGGGGGGTTATGCGTGCCCGGAACCTCCAAGTAGGTTTCGTAGACTGGAAGTACGAGTGCAATGCCAGTTGAAGGTTTTAGTGTTGCGCAGGGCTTTGCTAGCAGGTTGTGATGTTCTTGAGGGTTTTCGAGTTTACTAAGGGTAGCATCGGACCGGAACACGATGAGGAAGGAGTCTCGCAGAAGGAAATGCACTCACCATTAAGAGCCACACTATCTCCCCAAGATCCAAAAAACCCTCTGCCCACTGGCGGGAAGGGGGGGAGCGTAACGATTGCGGGTCTTGCGTGGCGCGTCGATGATGGCATGTTCCATAAACGATTCTTGGTACTTCGTGCGTTGTTTTTGTTCTATGTTCCCCTATAAAGTAGCCAACCCCAAACAGGGCACCCTGATTATCATGTGGTTCTGGGCTACCAAGCGGCAGGGTGCCCTGGGGCTTCGAGTTCAGGGTAGACCACTAGGACCGGGAGGAGGCCCTTTTTCATTAAGGGTCGGGGTTCCCTTATAATTTCGTTGAAACCAAAACGCGTACCCTTTTGATTCCTAGGCTACTCCCGGGTCTAGTAGCCCTAAACCCTAAACCCTAAACCCTAGACCCTAAACCCTAAACCCTAAACCCTTTGAAGTACCAAGAACCAGCCCCCATTTCCGAGCTCTTGCAGAGGTCCGCTGCGGCAACGTCGGAACAGTTGCTTCGTTGCTCGAGCTGGGGGCCGTACCTACCGAGGCGCCCATTGCTGAGGGTTTTTTTCCGGGGATAGGGTCTGAATTTCCAAGAACTTAGGGTTTATATAGGTACTGTGTTTAGGGTTTAGGGTTTAGGGTTTAGGGTTTAGGGTTTAGGGTTTAGGGTTTAGGTACAGGGTTTAAGGTAAGCTTTCCCTCCCGTTCAAGGTCGCGAGGGTCGGTGCCCTCTTGCTCCCCGCACTGGGCCTAAACCCTAAACCCTGGACCCCAAACCCTAACCCCTAAACCCTAAACCCTAAACTCTATCCTCTTTAAAAGGCTGCAGACCAAGGCATCCTGAACAACTGGGTTCGAACTGAAAACTTGCCGTCATTTGGGATCATATAGTTAGTAGCTGAGTACACTTTACACTTTTTGGGGATAAATACTATAACCCCCTATAGAACTGAAAGTGTACACCTTTTTGGGGCTTATGAACTCAGCAGCTAAGTATAGTAAATCACCGTGCTTCCTTATTATGGTACGTTCGATCAAGACCCTGAACAAGAGCCCACACAATTGGGTTGGCAGTGCGGTTGTGCCGGCGTGTATTACACATACGTAGGGGCTGAGACGGGCCTCGCAACACCGCTACTTAGTCACTAGCCCAAGATCGAGTAAATCCTTTGATTGTTTACAGGTACCTGCAAAACCCCTGCGAACCCAGCGAAGCTTATTAACCCTAAACCCTAAACCTAAACCCTAAACCCTAAGGCCTAAAGCCCTAAGCCCTAAAGGAAAAACTCAGCCAGTAAGATTCGATGCGCAGACTTGGTCTGGCTGCACTGTGGCACGTGCACCCTTGGACCCACCGGATCCAGCTGCGGGGGAAACAAGACTCAGCTATCGGGACAAACCTTATGTGTACACCCAGGCAACTGGAGAGGCTCGTTGGGTGATCGTTGATAGAGACAGTGGACTTCGCATCATCCTCAGCCCAGATGAAGGCGGACCTCTGTATGCCGCTTATCAGTTCCTGGCTCTGCGGGGCCTGGCTATAGGCCTGAACAGGGATGAGCTGCAACCAGGCAATGGTATACGTTCGGCGACTTGCTTGTGCCCCTGCCAATGGGTTTTGGACATGGGGTTCAGGGTGTAGGGTTTAGGGTTTAGGGCTAGGGTTTAGGGTTTAGGGTTTGGGGTTAGACCCTAAACCGAAAGCCCTATGATGGCCTCTCACCTTGCAGGCAGCCCTTCGAGAGCTGGTGAAGTGTCTGAGCTGCGAAGCTGATAACCCTCAACCCTGTCTTAGGGATTAGGGTTCAGGGTTTAGGGTTTAGGTTTAGGGTTTAGGGTTTAGGGATTAGGGTTTAGGGTTTAGGGTTTAGGGTTGTTGAAGTAACAACCCTCAACCTCTGACCCTTGGCGCTATCAGCTACAATGGGATTGACGTGGTCTTTCTGCAGGTGTTTCGGGTAGGGCTTCCAGTGTAAGGATGCGGGGTTTACGGTCTAGGGTTGGGGTTTAGGGTTTAGGGTTTGGGGTTTAGGGTTTAGGGTTTAGGGTTTAGGGTCGAGGCATGCGAGGCAGAGCGCGCCGCGCGACGCGAAGTGTTGTGTCAGAGATCTCCCAGCTCACTCGAGGGCCTCTGAAGCCCTAAGCCTTGAACCCTCTCAAAACTCTTTTTGGAGGTTCGTGGTACTTAATACCCCACACTGTACTTCTAACCCACTTCTAATGTAAGCCCCTTAAGTCGGGTGCTAAGTGCAATTACTTTTGCTGAGTAAGTACCATGAAACTCCAAGTAGGGGTAGTTGCATGCGCCCTTACTGTGGTCTCTTACCTCCTCTACGGGGTTCTGATGTATGGGTCCTTAATTTGTACTTGGAGGTTCATGGGACTTAGTAACCAATTCTAACTGTACTTATGACCCTGCTGATGAGTGGTATAACCCCTATCAGGCCCTTTAGGGGGTTTTATAAGTAGGGTTATAGTAGAGTTATAATTGGTGAGTAAGTACCATGAACCTCCAAGTATAGGGACCTTGTAACTTTACCCTTAGACAAACACTCTAAAACCCACAAACCTCCAGACCAACAACTCCCCACCACACTTGAAGTTTCATGGGTAGTTTAAGCAACGTGAAAAGTTCCCTGATGAAGACTATGAATCGGCACTATGACTGGGGTACTCAGGTTTGTTTTGCCCTTTTTCTCTTGAAAGGGGGGTGGGGGGGGGGGGGGGGGGCTATGTTCTTGTGGGCGCTTTGTTCCTTT